AATAATGCAACTGCGCCTTGACAACATCAGTAGTAGCTAGACCCTAATATTCCATGTCTATTACTTATATTTCATGATAATAAGATGCTGAATTATGAGTTACTGTAGCACCAACTTACCAGATATCACCTCGAGGACAAGGTATCTTTGGAACCTTAGGGTAGTTATAAACCTCCTGTTAGGTACATTTAATTCTAGAAGGGTAAAGAAGATTTGTGCACTAGTGGGAAAGAAGCAGCAACAGATTCTGTTGACTAAACAGAACGGCATGAACAAAATTAGTTACTTGAGGCTTATGTAAGTGGACAGGATGAAACATTATGGGAGGGCAGAATTTGGTTATTGTCTGGGGAGAGTAGTAGAGCCTCTCAAATGCTCTGCAATTTATTGTATTCCCTCTCATTTAGATTGTACTTCCACATATTCCATAACAGAAACTCATAATCTGCTCCAGGTTCTTATGACATGGATGATCCATTATCTGTTTTCCAACAATTCACACTCGCACATGATGGACTCGACTTGAATCATACAAGACAAGTAACACCAAATCTCAGATTTGTCCCAAGATGCATCTCACAAACATTCATATAGCAAATAGATCTTGCGACCAATGGGTATGCTTTAAGAGTTCACTGTACTAAAAAACTGTTTGGGATAGATAGTAGCTCCATCGAAGGAACATTACATCTTGCTATACTTCAAACTCATTTTTTCAACAATAAGTGAAGCATTTTCGATCCTCAAATATTTATATAACATTCTTGAACTCCACATGGTACTCTTGTATTCACAATTGTGTTCTAAACTCAAAATGGTTAATGAATATAAATGGAAGTTTTAGCGAAAATGGTCTCCTTTCCTACTCGATACCCTCAAATTTAAAAATACTAAACTGAATCAAAAATAGTTATAGGCAACATGCTTAAGTTATAACACCAAAATAAAATCTTGAAAAACAGTTAAAAATCATAAGGGTATAAGAATCCCAAAAAAAATCTAGGACAAATCTAAAAATATATACTTAATAGTATAATACCCAACAATCAATGTACCAAAACATCTGGAGAACTCTCACTAGGTAGAAGCATCCCTAAATAAAAATCCTAGAATCAATAAAAAATCTTCAAAATTTTACAGTAAATAATTTTCCCGTATTTACAAATGCATTTTAAACATTATATACATAAAAAAATATTTTAAAGCCTCTAAAATTATAATTTCATAAACTGCAAAATCCAGGATATTACAGGGACTAATTTGCATTTAGAAATCTGCAAAATAGCCATTCACGAGCCAGCACATGCCTTTGAAACAATGCTGTAATTTTATTTAATTTTTTTATATATATCCTTGCTGCGCAACACCCAGTCTCATCATTGGAGCGTGAACTCCACGAGCCACCTTCTAGGCGTCGTGGAGTTTTTCATTATAGTTCTTTAAACTGCTAGAAAGATTATGAAACGAGCTTTCTAATCATACTTACTATGCAGCCCGAAATGTATCCTACAATTCAGAAATTTTTTTTTAAAATGTTTCTTTATGAGATAGGGTTCCAATTTCTCCTAAAATATGAAACCAAATATCCTGAAATTTTTCAGATGTAATATATGTCATGAAAGGAACATACTGTATGAGTTTCACGAATTAATATTATATACTCCATAAGGTGCCATTAAAGACCATTCAAGTCATAAAGCATTTTCATCACATTGAACCATTTCCAGCATGTTAACATGCAAGGAAACAACCTGTCTCTGCTCTGATACCAATGAAAGAATCTGCAGCATGCCATAACTTAATTTCAGTTTATAAAACCTTACGTGTAGAGAAGGATTTTCCAAAATCTTTATGTAGTTGAATCACTTGCAATTTCAACTCAAAAACTGTATTTTTTATCACTCCTATGGTCCAAAACTCAATCACAATGGAAGAAGTCCGTTACACAGAATCGAGATGTTAAGTTTTGTGAGATTTCTAGCCAAAACTGTGATTATAGGCCTTTCCATTTTTGGTGAATTTTCCTTCTCACTCAATAGCACATAGGTAGAGTGGTTATGTAGAGCTATGGTATGTTGAGGGAAGTTAAGGGCTTGCATTCAAAGCTTAAGGCATTCCCTCCACTACAATTTTAATATCTTGCAGACGTGTCATCCCATATGGGCAACCCTCAGATCCATTGTCCCACTTTGAATATAATAATTTGATTAATACTCTATTTCAGTAGTATAAAGAGCTGTAGTGATTAGAATTAGCCAAAAAATTCTGCTATCGATTTACTAATAAAATTTATATTAGCAATCATATAGCTATATATATTGAAGGAAAAGCATACGTTATTTCATATAAAAAGGGTACCTTTTAGATAGGAAGGGGATGTCGAAATGGGTAGAAACAGCCATTAAACCAGTACCGGAAAGGTCGCACATGCTGAAAACCTGGCCCACAAAGGCCGGTCCCCCACCCTTGCTGGTCGAGATTCTGACCGCGGAAGGGAACCCTGAAGCTGAATCAGAAGGTCTGTTCTTGATAGCAGAGGAGGATGGCTGGGATGTTCTTGATTGGGTTGAGGAAAGCGAATCAGGCTGAGTGGACTCGAACGGTGAAGCGAGTGAGAGGAATGAGTTGGGGACGAGGAGAGGGATGTGAGATTTTGTAGAAGGTGGTGGTGGTGGTGGTTTGGCGGTGAGGAGGGAGAAGAAGTTGATGGAGGCGGAGTGGAGGAAGCGGGAGAGGTGGTTGCCATTGTCGGCTGCGGAGGCCATAGGATGGCGGAACCCTGGAGGGCAAACTGGTGGATTATGTTGGGATTTTCTTCCCCAATGTGCAGTTAATTTTCTATGACGATGGAATAATATTACTGTGCAGTTCAAATCTTTACCAGAGAAGATGGGTGGAGAGAGAAGTGTGAATGCTAAAGGAATTGTTTGATCGTCAATAATTCCTCGTTATAACCATAAATCACATTACTCATTTTATTGGAAATGTTCTCGAGCCCACCCCACGGTGGGTAGAATGAGATTGCCCATCTGCTCATTTGATAGGAGAACCAAATGTTGGGTTCTGGATTTTCTTCGAGTGGACATTATAAGACTTCTCACCGTGAGCAGGAGAATAGCGTTAACTCATTTTATAGGATTAAAATGAAAAAGGTGTCATGACAATTTTATAAAAGAAAAAGCTGCTGTAAATTAGTTCCCATTTGCCTCAATATTTTAAGAATAATAAGGGTAATTGGCGCAAAACGTCCCTACCTTTGCCTCTGTTTGTGGAAAACGTCCCTACGTTTGATTTTTTTGACGCATAACATCCCTACCTTTTATATTTTTGGCGCAAAACGTCATTTTCCCTAATTTTTAACATAAAATGACCAATATACCCTCCAATTGAAATAAAACAAAAAGGAAAAGAAAAAAAAATAAAGAATAAATTACAATTTGATCCTAAACTTTTTAAAAATACAATTAAAAAAAGGAAAAAAAAATACAATTAAAAAAAGGAATAAATTACAATTAAAAAAAGGAAAAAAAAAAAAACTCTCCCCCATTCTCCTCATCTCCCTCCTGAGCCTCCTCCACCTTCCGGCCACCTAAATTTGTGTCAATAGCTACAAAGAGGCAAATCTCTCTTTTGTTTCTCTTCTACCAGCAAACACACAATCGAAGTAATGGACGATTTTTCAATTGAGAAGATCCAGTTATCTGGCGCCACTTTGGCCTCCCTCCT